GTGGATGGTCGGACTGGATGATCTTGTGGGTCTTTTCCAACCTTGATGATTCTGTGATTTCTGTGATTCTGTGAATGAAGACACAGGATACAATCTTTGATTAACTCTCATACACAGTCCTCTTACGGACAATCAGATCCTCACCTTGCAATGGTCATGTTATTACGTGGACAAAATTCAGGCTCCTGTTATGTCAAGACTTTTGAGCAACCAGGCCAGCTTCTTTGTACAGATACATTCCTCTTACAGTACCTCTGCTGAGACTTCTGAGACATCGTTACAAGGCTCACTTTATTGGTCAGTGCAAGCAGGGACCAAAATTGTAACTTACGTTTTTGATTGTAGGAAACACCAGAATCGTTAAAACAGGCATTTAAAGCTGGTTTTTCAAACAACACGATGTAGGAAACCTGACAGATATTTCAGTAACCATGCCTTTAGGCCCCAGTCTCCTGCAGTCAGTTTTTATGCCCAGTTTGCAAAAAGACTTCTTTTGGTTTTCATAGCTGTTCTGCGTGCTTGGTATGAAACAAACAGGAGTGACAGAGCATTTGGCCCGCACTCCCAGGCAGTGCTACTGGGAATAACAACACTGTTTTTTTCGCTATAAGCTTTAGCAGGAAGCCCACTCTGCCCAACTGTTTCCAACCCAGGTTTCACACTCGAGCAGTGAAGACCCGTATCGCATTACCAGCAGAACTCCTGAGAATACCTTCTTATCTGAGTACACCGTGCCTTCCCAGCGCACCGTAGTGCTCTCCCACCCGCCCCTGCACGCCGTCCTTGCTGGCCAGGCCCGCTGGGAGCAGCAGGAGGCCCAAGAGCCGGGCTGGCTCCTCACCGCACACGCAGCTTGAGACTCCGCCGCCGCGGCCCGCCGACGCTTCGCACGTGGCGGCGCAGCCCTGAGCACGACGTGGGCGGGCCCACCCCTGCCTCCCTGCCTCCCTGCCTGCCTGCCTGCCTGCCTCCCTGGGGCGGGGGGATGAGAAGGCGGCCCCTGGTTCTCCTGGACCGTGCTGAGCTGCCTTCGCTACCTGGCGCCCCTTGCTCGCCTGCTGCCAGCCACCTCCTCCCCTCCTCGCCCGGGACGGTTTCCTCCCTGCGGGCAGGCGATGCTGCTTTCCAACCCCCGCCCCTCGTCGGTCTGGCCGCCCCGCCGTCCGGGGGACACGCATGACCAGGCGTACGAGCGGGCAGAGGGAATCCCCCGCCCCACCCACCAGGCTCAGCTCTCGCGAGAATTCCCCACTCTCTCCTCTGCTCGCTGTCTGTCCGTGCCGTATTCTCGCGAGCTTAGCGCGGTTCCCACGCCCGGGCTGTTGTGTCTGAGGGGAGAACCCGGGCGCTGAGTGGGCGGGGCGCGCTGCCCCAGCCCCCCCACCCCGCGCGTGTCTCACGGGCTCGCGCACGCGCGCTCCAGGTGCGGGGAGGGGGGCGCTCTCGCGAGAGTAGGAGTTTTAGCGAGAGTTTGTGGAAGATGGCGCCTGTTGTGACAGGGTAAGTGTGGGGGGTTCGCGGCGCCGCGCCGGGAGCGCTTGGCTTTGGGGGCCGCCGGGTCGCCGGCTACCCGGCTCCCGCCCCTCGGCCTCCCCGTCGCCGCCCTGGCGGAGTCACAGCATGTCTCCGGGCGGCCCGCGGGCGGGCCCTGAGGCGCAAACCCCGGGGGGCTGGCATCCCCCCGGGTGGGCGCACGGCAGGAGGCCCCCCTGGGCCGGGGCAGCGGCTGCCGGCGGTGGGGCTGCCCGGCCGGCTCCCGGCACGGGGTGCCCGCGGGACGGGAGCTTTCCCTTCGCTCCCCTTCTGCCCGGCGCTGCCGGAGCGGTCGGGACCCCGCGCCGGGTCGGTTCTTGTCCCCGCCGGCCCGGGGCGCTGCCTGTCGGAGGGCTTGCTCCCCGCAAGGGGAGGCACCGCGGCCGTTACGGCAGTTACCCCCGCTCGGCCGGCCCGGCCCACCCCGTCTCCGAAGAGGACCCCCGGGTTCCCTCGGCCCTGGCCGGGAGCGCTCGGACAAAGACTCTCGTGGCTGCGAGAAGTTGAGCGCTGGGCTCTGTCTCTGCCCCAGCGCCTGCCGGAGCCGCTGCAGGTCCCTGGCTACGGCCTCGTTGGGCGCTGTTGCGGAGCGCTCCCGGCCCGCCGGAGCTGGCAGGCTGCGGGAAGGACTCCCTTGTCCCGGGGCAGGGCTCCGAGCTCCCCGTTCTCCGCACCGTGAACTATTCCCCGTTCTCTGGGCTTTGCGGAGCTTTCTTAGTTGCCTTCCTGCTCGTGTTGCGTGGTGTTGAAGTGAAGGGCAGTAGCCTTCCCGCCCCACTAAGCCACAGTGGATCACAATGAACGATAGCTGCCGTCTCTTCCAACCGCACTGGGTAATACTTAATCATGGCTAGCCTGCTGTGGTGTGTCACTGTAATAAGTGACACCCTTGTAGCCACCTACAGCTGGTGAATAATAACTATCCCACTGCTGCCATACAGCACGGAGTCTCACCTGCAGCATTACTCTGAATATTGCCACCCTTACCACATCTGCACTTCTGCTCACTCTAAGTGCTGTGCCCTTAATTTTGGACTATGCTGAACACTTGCAACCTTCCTCTGTGTGTTGAGGGAAGGGACGGTGTGTTGAGAGAAGAACAGGCTGTGTCCACACTCCACCTGCTTGTTCCAAATGAAATCCTGACTGGTGAAAGCACCGCTGTTTCTTTCTGAAACGTGGACCTTATTTTATGATTTCACAGTGTGTCCCTGACCTTCTGTCTTCCCTGTGGGGATTACATTGTCTGCAGCATTGGCTATGTGGTTAGAGAGAGCAACAGCCTGCTTGGGGGTGGGGTGGAGCTGGTGGTTGGTGCTTTTGTTCTTGTGAAGAAGGTAGCATTATGGTACTCAGATATTTTATTTGGCTGCAGCTATGTTTCCAATTCCTCATTCTTGTTTGTTGAAAACTAAATTGTAGCTTTTGCTTGATTTCTCCTGATAAAGGCATCTTGCGGCTCATACACGTTTTCCCAATTAAGTGTTCTATGGGGAAACTGGTCTTATTTGTTATGGTTCCTGGAGCGTGCTGTTTTAGAGGTTAGAGTTGAAAGAATGAAATAAATGCTCTTAAAGTTTGCTGTGAGGAGTAGTCTGTGCTCTAGTTAGCAATTAAGTTTTTCCACATTTACATTAGTTTACTCATCCTAATATTTGGGTTTTGTTTCCTTTTGTTTGTTGATTATTACAGGTTTGTCAGACGTTCTTATGTTCATGATGTTACATTTACCCTTGGATATACATTAAAATGTTGAGAATAACAAACTACTTTTTTTTTTTCAAATGAATGATCAAATAATTTGAATAGTAGGAAGGAATACCGACATTTTAACGGGAGCACAAACAAGTTGTATGTGGTTTTGGATTTTAACCCCAAAATTATTGTTTAAAATCTGTCAGTTAAGTGATTCTCTGAACAAGTATTCTCATCTTCTTATTGTTAAGTATTTCTAGCTCTGATAAAAAGAAGCATGTTAAATCCAATGATTATTATAGCTAGATTGCATTAAGGAGCGTGCGTTTTTTATGTATGAACTGTTTTTGGCTTACAGCTCTGGTACCAAGACCAGTTATTAGCATTGAAAGTTGATGATTCTCCAATAACAAATTTTATTTCAAAATAACCTGTGAAAACATTTTCTTCCTAGATTGTTCTGTAAAAGCTGTGTTATTGAACAGGAAAAAGAAGTGCTTGAAATTAAGAAGTTGTAACTGAAGAATGCAGTACCCAAATACTGCATCGTAATTTAATGAGAGGCTTGCCGTTCTTACGGGTGCCCGAACTTGAGATAAAGCATATGGCTTTGCTGTAGCTAGTGTAGGCTGAGTGTAAAAACACAGTTCTTCCTGTGAAAACTGAATGCCTGAGCCTGAATTGTGGTTTCTGTAGCGCTGGATGGAACAGTAAGAATTTACTATAGTGATTTTTGGAGGGAGTGGGTACATTATGGTTTTATTATTTGCAGTGTGTGTTGTATACTTGTAGCATGAAGAGCTTTTTGATCAAAACTACTTGTATGGACAATGTGACTGAACCTAAATTGCCCTTATCAGAGCCTGATGTAATAAGGTACACAGAAGTGTGAATCGTGAACAGAACTGAAATTGTATTTGTACTATAATTTCCAGTGAAGTGGGTAATTTGTGACTGCAATATGAGAATTGTCTTTTGGGCTTTTGTCAGGTATTTTTGATTTTACTTGTGAATACTTTGTGGGAGCTCATCATTTAAAGACAGTAAAATTAACAAAAATGTTATTTAACCAGAGATGCGCATTTTGAGTTCAAAACGCTTTAAGTAGCGATACTACTTTGTATTACTTTGAGAATCTCTGTGCTACAGAGGCATGGCAGAATTTCTGCTCTTAAGAGTTTACTTTTCTGTCACTTTAAAATGGCTTAAAATGCAGAGTTCTCTTTTCTGTGTCTCTTGAGTCTGGGATAAGGCGGACATAGACAATAACGCAAGAAGTCTAACCCTAAAACCTTTGCAAAGATTTCTGTAGCAGCAAATAACTAAAAACATTTAGAAAGGGTAGGTAAAAGTGGCAAATGCTAGACATAACTTTGTGTACTTGATTATCAGTGAAAACCTGTATAATAGCAGTAAGCAAGATAGTACTTGGATTATTTTTCGAGCAGCTTTTGGAGAAGCCCTGAAAAAGCCGATAACGGAACAAGCTTATCACTGTGATGTTTACCAGAGGCTCCATAAAGTAGGAAAGTGTTTTAGTACCACTTTTCAAAGTTGCAGACCAAGTTGTGTGCCTGATTTAGTCACTGCAAAGTTGTGTGGTTAAGAGGTGTTTCCTGACCCAGCTTCAGGGGAAGGGAAGGTGAATCAGACTGGTGATGACACAGGAGAGACATTGGCACCAATGGAGTGAGTTTTAGTGCAGTGGTGGTGGTCTGGGCATGCCAGGCATCTAGTTGCTTTGTTTTAATGGGAAGGTGGTGTTCAGAGATGCGAATGTCGCTGGCAACTCATTAAACCTGCATGTTTGACAACATGATTAGAAATTTTAGGGTGAAGTTGACCAGTAAGGGGCTTGGAGCAGAGAGCGGGGCAGATGCTGCTGAAGTACTGTGAAGGAAGGTTTACGTGGTCTGGTGTTTGCAAAAACTGTCCAGAGAGGAATGTTCACAAAGAATGGAATAGGGTCAGTTCTGGATTGTGGAGGATGGAGAAAGGTTCTTCAGTAGTTCTGATGTGAGCTGATGTGGTCATGAGATAAAATCCAAGCTATTAAAGTTGTGACGTGGTAGATACTGCCAGGATCCCCAGAGCTGGCTATTTTTATCTTCTACGGAGAACTTTCGTTTTAGAGCTGATGCTTAGAAAAGAGTCCTGAAAGGTAATGACTTGCAGTGATAGAAAGGAGACTGAAGCAGTGATAGAGAGTAAAGACCTGTGTTTTGTCTGTGCTGAAACCGAGCTGTGATAGCAAGGCGTCTGTATGGAAAAAATGGAGATGTAAGCTGAGGCGTTAACTTGGTGAAACACAGCAGATGTGAAGTTGAAGGTATGTTTCTGACTTTGTAGCAGGAAGATAATAGTTTCGTGTGAATCTTGGTACTAGGCTGAGTGAAGGGGAATGGGAAGGAATGCAAGACAAACTTATTAAATGATTAGTAAAATAGTAGAGGTGTATGATGATACTTCAGAAGGGTGCACAGGAAAGACGATGAGAGTGGGAAGGGGTGAATCAGGAGAAATGGTGGCAAGGAAATCGGGTAACATTTCTGGAAAAGAAGCACTGCTGATAGTCATGGCTGATTGGCATGTCTAGGAGGATATGAATTGCACTTTGGTTCTGAGCCTCATCAGAGTGTTTGGCTGCACGAGTTCTCACTGAGAATGGTGTTGGTGGAGATAAAGGACTGGAAATTGGGTTAGTCAGACTGCAGAGGGACATCTCAAGGATAGGATCTTCAGGCTACAGTTTTTACTCTCACTGGAGGTTTACATGTAGTGCTTATTAAGATTTGAGTAATAGCCTGACTGAGGCTATTATACTGTGTCTGCACACATGATGAGTGTTAAGAAAAACTAGTTTACAACCAAACGGGTAGATGGTTTTGTGTGACTAACATTTAAATCATTATCAAGGAGCGTGTCAGTGTCTTAATTCTGGGTATTGGGAAATGTTTGTGAGCAGCATGTTTTCAAGCGTCTTTTGAGGCTCGGTTTCAGTAGTGGTGATTTTATGAAGTTAAGCTCTTGATTTGGATTTTATTTGCTTTCCTTGTTTACTCATTGTTTGAAGTTGCTCTTTGTCATTTCTTAACTATGATGATACATGATACAGAGCTCAAAGAAATAATTTTTCATAGATTGATTTCTGTAAAAATAATCTGGGGAATGTGCTTGGTTTGTTTTTTTCTATGTAAAACGCAGCGTCCATTACCAGTATCTCTTTGCTTTCAGAAAGCTGTGATTCTGTGCCATGAATTACATAAATGAGCCACGGGCTTGTGCGTGGGGGTGGATACTCTTCCTTCCTTCTGAATTGCTAAATTCTACTTTGCAGTAGCAATTCATTCTATCTCTTTTATTATTATTATGAGCTGAAGTAATTTCTACATTTGAAAAGAATACAGAAAGAAGCTACAGTAGCCTGCAGCAGCAGTGACTTAGAAAGGCTTCCTGAAATACCTGCAAGCATCTTCGTGGGTAAAGGCCTGCAAAACCAGCTTAGTAGTTGGTAATTCATTGTTAGTGGAGGGTGCAGTTAGGTTGCATTACGTGGCTACTCTGCATTACATTTGTTCTGCTTTTATATAAAATTGAATAGAGAAATTGTAATTTTAGATCAATAAAATACATATTTAGCACAAACAAGTATTGTGTTTTATGCAATACGTGACTGTCTATTGAGAATCAAGAATGTAGTTATTCCGTATATCAGCTTCACACTTGGAGAAATCACATCAGCGGGATTTAAAAGTTTCGGGACATGCTTTCTATATTTGCAGTACTCATCACCTGAAATGCTTTGGGTGTTAATTGCAAGCACATTGTTGACTAACCTGTATGGCATTCAGTATGCTGAATCAGTGCCTCCCGAGCGCATTAACAGAGAAGGTGTACTTCTAGGTGTATTTTATTTTTAACCTATTATTGCTCTATTTTTTTTTTTAAAGCTTACAATTATAGATGTAAAATTTTATTATTGAACTTATTGTACTTTTTTATGTGACATGCTTGTAATCTAGTGTTGCACATTTTTCGTATTTGTCTTGAACATAATTGCAGAAAGTAATGATTAGGATTGTGTGAGATGAGGAGATAGTATGGTCTTCACAGAGTCACAGAATGGCCAGGGTTGGAAGGGACCTCAAGTATCATGAATCTCCAACCTCCTGCCACAGGCAGGGCCACCAACCTCCACGTGTAATACTAGACCAGGCTGCCCAGGGCCCCATCCAACCTGGCCTTGAACACCTTCAAGGACGAGGCATCCACAGCCTCTCAGGGCAGCCTGTTCCAGCACCTCACCACTCTCTGTAAAGAATTTCCCCCTGACATCCAACCTAAATCTTCCCTTCCTCAACTTAAAACCATTTCCCCTTGTCCTGCAGTTATCAACCCTTTCAAAGAGTTGATCCCCTCCTGTTTGTAGGCTCCCTTTAGGCACTGAAAGGCTGCAATTAGGTCACCCTGTGGCCTTTTCTCCAGGCTGAACTTATGGTCATTCCTTTCCAGAGTAAAAACCTCAGAAACAGCTGATAAATTTAAGCAAAAATTATTAATAGAAGTAGTAATTTCCGTATCATGATGTTCTTATCGAGTTGTGGAAAAGTAAGCTCTAAATTCAGAGTTTGACATTATCTCATTTCCTGGGGTTCTGCTCAGGTTGTGGTGTGCTTTACTTGTAAGTTACCTGTGCGTATTTTGTGGTTGCTGCTATTTTTTGAAATGCTAAGTGCTCTTTCCAGCCTAAAGAAACTTTCTCATTGCTTATTTCTTTGCGACGTCACAGACCGCTTCTCAGAGGCACCGTATGGAACACCATTTAAAATGATCTTCTGTGCTGAAAAAACACTTCATTCACTTCAGCTGGAGTGATTAACCAGATAGTGATATACACGTTCTTGCTCTTGTGCTTGTCAGTGTGTAAATGGTGTATTTGCAGCGATAAACTGTTTCACCAAGAAAAGAAAGAATGCAGGGTTTCACCACGTACAGTGTAATCTTGTGATTAAAGGCTGTTCAATAGGAAAACACGAAGACGAAGGTGTTTGTACAGAAGTAAATCTTTTCTCCTTTCTTTTATAGTGGTATGATTAACTTGTATGATGTGACATTTAATCAGTGTGCTCCAAAGCCACGGCTTTTGTGCTAAAAGGCAACAAGTGGTATTGGCAAGTGGTCGTTTCTGTCTGCTCAGTGTGAGATTACACCTGTTACTTCATTTAATTTTTCTAGTGAGATTCAAGAGTTGTATTGCAGCAGGTCCTAGTCAGTATTAATTTAATTATTTATAGTTATGTGAGTAGCTACACAAATATTTTTAATTTTTTCATTGTGAGTACAGAGAAGTGTAGACATTTTTCTGTACGTGCCAGAAAACGATCTTTCTATTGGTATTTGTGATAAGATTGCTTAGTCTGTAGAACATTTAATCTGCACTTTTTTTCTCATTTATACTGGTGGCATATTTCCAATGTGTGGTGCTTTGGGAGATTACCAGCAAACCTGGTATCAGAAGGAAACTTGATCAGGCAGGCATGAAATTTAGAATTTTCGAAGCCTGAGAGAAGGAATCGAATGTTGCAAAATACTGGTGCCTAATTGTGCTGTTACTACGGTCTGGCAAAAGAGGGAAAAATACACTCTAGGCAATATCCTGCTTTTCTTTTCCTGGCTGCTCTTCTTTTAACTCAGTAATTTAATTTTGTCTAGGAGCTGTGAATCTTGCAGGCAGAGCTTCTTTTGAAAGCCATAGGTTAGGAATGGCCAGTGTAGAAAATAAGGTTGAACTTTTTTGCTTAGCAGAGAAATTAGTGAAAATAAGCTTTCATCAGATTTTGATGCAGTAAGAGGAGTCTCTACTAATTGTTTACTGCTTTCACCAGTGTTGTGGCAGAAAGGGGCCTTCAGACTGAAGGTCTGGACAACCAGAGGGGGGCTGGCACTCACTCAGAGCTTATCCCACAGCGGAGGGTTCTAAGGCAGGCATAATAGAATAAATAATAATTAAAATCGGTTGTGGTGTTGTTGTTGTTCTCACCTTTTGTGTGAAAGTCCTTCATGTCCTGAACATGAGAAAACAAGTTGAAAAAAAACAGTGAGTTGCCAAGATCAGATGTAGAGTCTGTGGAGAGGTGGAAGTAGAACTGCTGTCTCGTGCCTGGCTCTTGTTGCTCTGTATGGTTGGAGGCCGCGCTCTGGTCAGTGCTTGTGTGGTTTCACCAGGCGGTGTCGTACCTTCTGTCCCTGCTGCAGCTGTGTTCCAGGGTGAGAGATGGGCGGAAGGTGTCAAGCTTCCTGAGGTGCTTAGTTTGCATGATGAAAAAAACGTGGCGAAGAAGTGTGACTGTATTTGTAATTAATGTGTTTTGGTGAAGGGTGTTAGTATAAGCACTAGAAAAATGCTACTCTTCTGTAACTGAGACAGAAGGGATGGATGGGGCATGACTGTGTGTGTTTGGTGGCCCTGCTAGGCAGGGGGGTTGGAACTACATGATCCTTGAGGTCCCTTCCAACCCGGGTGATTCTGTGATTCTGTGATTCTGTGACTGGTGGATAAATGGGGCCTGAAAAAAGATGAAGTGGTGCGTGCCACGGTGTGCTGGAGCTGTGTCTTTATACTACAAAAGAAATCATTCTATGTAAGTATTTATTTTTAAGTTCAGGATACTTTACTACGTTCCGATTCAACCAGCCAACACTGGCTTCAGTAGTAAGAAGTCAGGAAAGAAAAAATTTTATTGAAGGACTGGTATTCTTCTGCATGTATGTGTTTCTTTTCACGCTCTCTTAGTTTTGTAGTAGATACACAGTGACGACTAGTAAAATCCTTCATAATGTAATATCTTCCAGAAGCGTGGGGGGATATAACACAAACTATTTTGGATGTGTCTTTTCTGTCCAAGTATTTTTCTGGCCAAACCTTTTTCTTCTGCTGTTCAACACTTCTATGGACTCGCACTGAGTCCTGGAGTGTTATTTTTTCTGATTTTTTTTTTCCTTTCCACATTCCAAATTTTTATTTAATATTGTATGATTGATGTTATTTTTGTTTTGTTTACACATGCATTACAAATCTCTCAGTAATGAACTTTGCTGAGCAGTCAATAAAAAGAAGTATTAAGACCAGGCTCCCTCTTTGAAGGAGGCTTAAGGCACACTGTGCATTGTGACAGTCTGTTTCAGTCTGCACAGGTGATACCAAGTGAATCCTAATGATATAAAATTTAGGTATTTGAGGGATCTTTGCCTGAGTGCTGAACTGACAAGTGTTGCCATTGCTTCTAACATTGTTTGGCTGCCGAGTATATAGGGGTGAATGTGCCTCCT